TTTAACTAAAACATTAAAAGCAATAATTCTAAGAAAAAAATGATATCTTACGATTTTCAATTCCAAATAGAACTAAAAGAATAAAACAATAATTAAAATACACAGATTTTACTTACCTAGAATTGTCAATGCGAAATTGAACTAAAAGATTAAGAGCAATAATTTTAATAAAAACAATTATATTTACCTATGATTTTCAATTTTCTTTTCTATCCAACTAAAAGACTGAAAAATACAATAAGCATATGTAAAAAGTAATGCTTGCATTTGATTGAATCGCTTCGAAAAAGCTAAATCGAAAGCGACTGATTCAAAAAAATAATTACATACAATTTTTTAACTTACTGATGAAATTCTTCAAGATTTATGAATAAATACTTACGTTTTATTTTATAGAAGCCTCACCTACATAGAACAGTTTCATTTTGTTTTTCAGGCTGATCTAATTAATGGAGAATGAGAATCTTTTAATGGGAGATTACAAACTATTGCAACATAGAGAGAGCTAAAGTTACTTTGTTTTTCAGTAATCTTTGTTTCTATTGTACGATTTCCTATCTAGTCACAAAATTACTTGATGAATAGAATAGATGTCATCAACCAGAAAAGTCAACATCATTTTGATATATATGTATGACTTGTCTGATTTCAATTTTTAGGGGCAAAAATATCTTATGAAAAGGTACAATAATAAACCCTTCATCGTAGATTCTGAAACCCTTTTCCTTAAATTCTGGTGCAATGAACCCTTTCTATTTTCAAATACCCTTAGTTTCATAAACGCTTCAGGCAATAAACGGTTTTAGAGTTTCGGACAAAAACATAAACCCTTTTTTTAGTACTAGGGTTTAGTATTCGACGATTTTTTTACAGCATACGTAACGATGTATTACTATGGTTACTGAATTCGAATATATTTTGTCAATATCCAGGCTAAGCGACGTGAGAGAACCGGCAATTTCAAAACCAAATGATATGTATTTTTCATTGAACCGAGCAGTCATTCAATTCCGCAATGTTGAACATTCCGGAACCAGTTCCGCCTCCGGAATCAGTTCCGTCGATTCCGGAATCAGGTCAAATATGAACACTGTCCGATTCCGGAATTCCACGGAATTCAGTCCAATTCCGGAATTAGCTCAATACGGAATCGGTGGGAATTAGACGGAATTACCAGGAATTCCATGTAATTCCGTTCAATTCCGTTCAATTCCTGTTCGACCTAATTCCCGGAATTCCGTACCGGAATT